CCCATGCATTAGACTCCCTACACAGTAAAGAGAGGCTAGGAACCCTTTCATTGCATTTGGCCTTATCAGAACAAATAGCAAAACTTGGGGTGAAAAAAAATACAAGAAAACATTTTTTAGAAGAAAACATAAAACCATATTGATTTTTCTAGTACCAGAAAATTCCTAAGTCACATATGTAACACTTTCTAAAACCATAATTTTAATTTCACTGCACAAATAGAACTCCTCAAATAATATAAACATATACATAATTGATTTAGATGGTATCAATTTAACTTTATTCAGGGAACTATTATTTCTTGATTTTATTATTTTAAATTTCGATGTAAACTTCTCAACCACCTGCTAAAGTATGCCTAGTGATTGCACTGAGAAGACTTTGGAAGTTCATTGCCTTACCTGGGTGTCCAGATGGCCAGACGTAAAGTATTCAGTGAAGAACGATGAAGATGTTACAGGTGTATCAATCAAGAGTGGGAAGTCATTGGAAGTGAACCAAAGGCCATACGGTAAGGTCCAAAAGAGGAAAAGAAAAAAACAGAGAATTATACTGATTAGAAGGAAATTAATTAATTTTGAAAACTCATTTTACACATATGTGTACCCATATACATACACTCTTTTGGAAAGTTCTTAAATAGAATCCTTCAAAAAGACTCTTTAATTATAAGATTTCATTTAAAACATCTATTGGGGCCACTAGAAGGTGTGGTGGTTAAGGCACTGGACTCCCACAGGGCTGACTGAGGTCTGAGTCCCAGACACCATGCTTGAAAATCATGCTGGGCACGTGTGCATGCCTGCCCAAAATTCCAAGAGGAGAATGGAAGAGAAAGGATTATGGCATGGTCATCCTCTGTAGGAGGTGATTTCTCATTTTCCCTCTCACTGTCTCTCTCTCTGGTAAGCACATGTGCTTTATGGCTAAAACCTCTTTAAAAATCTATGATCTATTATGTCAGGTATTGTTTTATGTAGTGAGGATACAATAGTGAATAAAACAGGAACACTCTACCTCCATCAAGTTTAAAGTCTTGTGGAACTTTTAGTAGGCCATCTGTACTAAATACATTGTATGTTATCAATTCTAGGAAAGAGTTTCTCTCAGTTGTATTTCTGCCTTTATTTAGGTATGGAGAACATACTAAATGGCGTAAGATTCTACATTTGTATTAGAACAAATTGTCTTTCTGATTGGAGGCACATGGGGATTCATTCTAACCAGCTACCTTAAACTACATTAACCCCCCCCTTGGTATTTACATTCTTAGTGTTAGTGCTTACAGCTTCAGAAATAATAGTTAAGTTATTCATTTTGATATTAGGGACACAAATTAAGACCTAGAAAATATAGGATGATGAGACCCAATACTCCTTGCCTGAAAATAAGGATTTTTACTTTCTCTCTCCTTTTATTTTAAGAGAGATTTTTGCTATACGGCACATGCACTCTCCAAAGAGACAAAGTCAGAGAAACAGAAAGCAAGAAATAACCCCACAGGGAGGATGACCATGCCACAATCCCTTCTCTTCTATTCTCCTCTCAGCATTTTAGGCATATGTGCTTGGCATGAGTTTCAAGCTACCAGATCCAGGACTCGAACTGTGATCAATCATGTGGGAGTCCAGTGACATAACCATTACACCATCTGCTGGTCCCTCCTTGTTTCTAATCCTGCTTTTACCAATAACTCATTTGATCTTGGGCAAATTCTATTCTCTACTCTCTCAGAAGTTTTCACAAGGTGGTTTCTAAAAAACTGTCCAGTTCCAATAGCCTTTAATTTTGTAATAGCTTTGTCCTTCATTTTGGTGTTCGGTTAGTTAAAAGTAAACCATTCTCTATTCATTTTCTCAGTACAACATGCCATTAGTAGCTCAGAGAACCCAAAGCCCAGCATTCTGAGTTTATGAGTAAATGAGAGCTTGGCCAAGACAATAATGGCCAAACTGAAATGTGCCTGGACCTCATTCTGTCCAGGTAAACAGCTTTGTTTATTGAAAATATAGAGTAGCTGGTTCTTCATGATGAAAATTTATACAAGGAAACTTAATTGCAAAAAAAAAAAAAAAAAGGAAAATCTCATTGATGAACAATTGATTGCACCATTTCTCTTTCTGCTCATGCAGATTGTTCATCTGCCAGGAGCCTGGGATGTTAATGGTGGTAGTGGTCCATCAGCAGAGACCTCTACTCCCAGATAAAGGCCAGATAAATGCTCACGTTTTGTGAAGGGTGGTTTAAAAACAAATACCAATAGTTTTGGTCTGATTGCAGATATGTGACAGATAATACACTCTGTGGGAAACGACTGCCTACCATTGTTCCAGAGTTGCCTGCAAAAGGCCCATTCAGCCTCTCTCATTTTCTGACACTGGACTAGTCTGCTTATTTTCTCTCCAACTTCCACACCAAGAGCTTCTATGCCTTCCATTTCCCCCTTCTCTCTACTCATGATGCCTTTCTACCCCCATCCTCATCTGACCTAGAATATTGCTAGAATATTGGTGCTCGGTAACATTTGGTATCTCAGGTCACATTCCTCATTTGGTCTTTGAAGGTGAAATACAGTATAAACTAGGGCGGTCGTGTGGCCTCTGGACCAGCAAGCTGAAGCCGAAAACAAGGATTAAGAACTTACAACCATAAGCAACAGAAAGAATCTTTAGCTGTCTTAAACCAATTGAGAAATATACTGTATAGAAGGATTTTCTCTACCTATGGACAGTGAGAAGATGATGGTTACCAGCCCTGTATTACCTCAGGGAAGAACAGGAACTACCCTACCATTCTTAGAGAAGCCAGATACCCGAGGATAAGTCACGCTGCAGATCCCCACAACACCATTCTTGCTAATCACAAGATGGCTGCTGTGCCACATCAACTGATGGTCAACTCTGCTTACCAGAACCGCTTTCCTGAAACTGTATTCCATGGAGACTCACCTACAATTGCGGAACTGCATGAGACCCAC